CAATAATATAGCTGCAGCATGGCTCTACCACGTGAGAAAGCAACCAGCCCACGGGCCGGATCCGGCCAGCTGTAAGATATGATACGGCCCGCGAGACATTTTGAAAAAAACCCAATTAAAAAAATATACTTATACTCACGGGAGTGACAGTGAGGCGGCAAACATCAAATCTTTGCCGCCTAACACTTTGATAATCGCCGCCACTCGGCTTGCTCGATCAAATTCTGTCAGGTTTGCCGCCTCACGAGCGACACATCAAAAGATTTATTGCTTCTCAATTATTCTAAACTAGTTTATTCTAGATTATTCCTTCATTTTGCCTATATAAGCGGGTGGATGGCCCGAGCGTTAGGTCAGTTCTATTTGAGCTACCGAGGTGATAACTTGGACAAGCGATATCCTAGCGAACTGCTCGAGCCGTCAACTTGCTTTGTGACTTTGTATGCATCTTGAGTGGTTACTAACTATAGTTTGTTATTAAGTTTATTGAACGAAAAGTAAACAAAAATGATGTCTGGTGGAAAGAAACGAAAAGTAGATACAGGGGTCGCATTTTTCAAGAAAAATGGACTGAAGAATTCTTTTTTATCTCGCACAATGGTAAGCCTATTTGTTTGCCGTGTAATGAATCAATTTCAGTAATGAAAGAATTCAATATAAAGAGGCATTACTCAAGTAAGCATGCTACGCTGCACTCACTGACAGGACAATTAAGAACAGAAGAAATCCAGAAGCTTACCGCAAATTTGGAAAAACAGCAACAAATATTTCATAAACAAAGAACACAACTTGATAATGTTGTGAAAGCTAGTTTTATACTTAGCTCAAAATTGGCAAAGCCATTATTAACCCTCAATCCACTAGGTGAAATTTGCTAACGTAAACACCTTCTATGAGTCCACTAGACTCATATATTTTCTTAGCGTGGTTTTCTCAAATAAAACACTTTTTTATAATTTATTATTTATTATTATTCTTAAATATTAAATAAGGCACTAGAAAAAAGTAACAAAACTGAATAAACTTCTCAAATCCTCTTAAAAATTAAAGAAAGTTTGCTCTAACAGTGTCAAAAACAAAGGTATTTTTAGACCTCTACAAAAATAACAAATATCCTTAATCGGTTCAGTGAGGGTGACACGCCAGGCGTGCCATCGATTACTTTTGTGTGTGGCGTATGACACGCGAGTCGTGTCTTTTTAAAAATCGTTATAACTCGCTCAAATTGCTTTTTTGGAATATTTATCCAGAACAAAATATTCATTATTTTGCGAGTAGTTTATGCATGCAGCTTCGTTTCTGGATATTTTGAAAATTTGAAATTTTTAGGGGCTGACAACCTTTTTTTAACGTGTACATGGTACTATTTTTACTTTGTGGGTTTTAAATCATGTTATGGAAAAATTGTCTAATAAGTAACAAATAATAGCACTCATTGCGATCGCTCACAAACTCAAGTTGTAAATAAATTTCTGGAAAACAAGTCTCCTGTTAAAAAAAAAACAATGCGTTTGTCTTATTATTCAATTTTGCTAAAAATGGTTGAACTGCCGTCGTATTACTATCATATGGCCGAATAGACCTACGAAGTACCATGTGCTCTTGTGATATGGTATAAGGTTTATTTTTGCTTGAAACAGTTCGAAACCGTTCGAAAAAAAAAATTCGCTAATAAATAGTCTTTTGTCAATCCGCCGCCGTATAGCGCCGGCGTTTCCTTTTGAAAACACTTGTTTTGCTATTCTTACTAATTACACGTTTTCAGATCGACTTTACTTTTACATTTGTATAACATTAAATAATATTTAACATTTATAAATATCAATGAATGATATACCTTATTTTTTTTTTCAAATTTCTTTTCTTTTCTTCAAGGTTCTTCATTGTTTGATATTTACAAATGTTATTATTAGGTGAAAATTTAATTTAATAAAAACCAAGGTTTCCAGGGTGATTTAGCTGTACCTACTTATATAAATGTATTTTTTTTAACAACAAAAAATAGTACAAAAGGTTTGTAATCTCTTCATAAAAAAGTCACTTTCTCTCAATTTTTTTTTATAGGATAAGTGTTACAAACGAGCACACAGTCCACCTGATGGTAAGTGGTTGCTGCGGCTATCTATCCTCTATTACTAACTAAAATGCAGATGCGTTGTCACCCGTGAGGACTAAGATGGAATGCCTCATTTCCAGTAAAAAGGACCTCCGGCCACCTGCACTCACCAAGCGAAACGCAGAGGTAAATCTCTACTTCACGCTGGTATTCTGTGAGGTCGTGGTACCACCCCGGTTCGAGCCAGCCCATCCGTGCGACAGCAAAAGCCGCCACGTGGCTCTACCACTATTAATTTTTCAAATAAAACGCGTAAAAAAACACGTAGTTACCCACTAAAAACAAGTATCCTTCCATTAGTAACTTATGTTTGATGTCAAATAAACTTAATTAGATCTAAACAAGTAAAAAAAGCATAAAAAAGAACATTACTTTTACACATGGCGGATGGCACAATAGGCGTGTCATTTTTGTCTGTGGCGCTTAACACGCCCGGCGTGTCATGAAATATTTGTTTGCCGCCACAGCTAAAAGTTGTCGAAAATTGGTGCCGCAACGAATCGGTTAACTAATATATCTTTTTATCTTTATAAGCCTTTCATAGGCATACAAAACAAAAATAATAGAACAAAAATGTATGCTTCTATACAAAAATAAAAAACGTGCAATGGGTCTCGCCACCGCTTACAGGCAACGACGGCATACCTTTTTTGAGCAACTAAAACATACAGGCTTCAGACATTTGGTGCATAAATGTGCAGTTTTTGTTCTCTTTTTGTAGTGACATAGGTAACAATATTTTCTTGCCGTCCTGTGTAATTTGTCTTCGGTTTCAGAGTGGCTTGCATCTTCAGGAATGTCTTTTTTCAAGATATATGAAATCGAACTACGAATTTGGTGTGGCAAACGTGTACTGCGCAAACGTGTCATCAAATTACTTTGATTTAGGTTTTCTGTCATGCTTTTGAGAAAATCCAATCTTCTCAGCTTTGGTACATCACTTTGGCTTCCATAGATGACTTGCGCATTGCAACATACCTTATCAACAATCCTGAAGAACACCGCCATAAGCCAACGCGTCGTCCTTCTACTGCACGAGTACACCGAACATTTTTGGTCAACCATATCAACACCTCCTTTGGTTGAATTGTAATACATAATTACTTCAGGTTTTCCAGTATTGCTGTCAATTGTGTGGTCATGGTGCATGGAGGAGTATAGCACAACAGCTTTATTTTTTTTTGGAACATAGCTTACAAGAGTACACTCTTTGGTAAATCCAAACACGGAAGATTCAACAGGTCTGTTTTTGTGCGGGAGAAATTCTTTCGGAATGACTCTTGTTTTTCTTTAGCGTACCTACTGTTGTCAAGCCTCTTTTCTTCAATTCTTGAAGTAATTGCATTGAGGAATACTAGTTGTCTGTGGTAACATTGATGTTTGTGTTGAAAATAGGTTGATACAAGCGGAGCGTGGCCTGTGTTGGTACCTTTTTCTCTTCTTCAGTCAAACCAAATCCATCGAAACCTTTACCGGTGTATAAATAGATGTTGTAAACATAAAATTTTTCAGAATCTACTAAGCACTGCATCTTTAAACCATATTTCCCCGGCTTATTGGGCATGTACATTTTGAATCTTGATCGTCCTCTAAATTCTATGAACATTTCATCGACGGTCGCGTTAATGCCCATCGAATGATTGCTTTAACTGTTTTCAACAAACGTCTGTAATATGTTAGTGATAAGACAAGCAGGATCAAATTGCCTCCGGATGTCACGATCAGAAGCATTATCAAAGCGAAGCGCTAATAGCAATGCCAAAAATCTGTTTTTGGACATAGATGCTCTGAATATTTCACGCCCAGTGCCGTCAGTTGCGAATAATAACAGAACGCTTTCCCTGTTAGATTTGAAAATAGCGGAATAAGTAAGCAAAGCGAGAAACCCTTTCAATTCGATAAGGCCAGTCTGTCTAAAGGCAAAATCTTTTGGGTATTTCAAAACAAAATCTTTTTTATTTGTACGAATCATAAAGATTCTTTTGATTCTTTGATCAAATATTATCTGAAACGCATCAATTGGAGAAAGAGGTCCTTCAGTTGTAGGCCTTACTCTAGGAATTTGAACCACATTATATACTGCAGTACGAATATTTCGGGCTGGAAGTAATCGTGACCACTTGTACCGATTTTTCCCGTAGCAGTAGTTTTGATTTTGCGCGGGTATCGATTGGTCGTCATCACTCTCGTCAGAAAAATTTTCTTGAGCTGGCGAACTAGTGCGCAATCTGCGAGATAGCTCCAACAGCGGTAAGTTGCTCTCACTCGATGACTCACAATCATCGGTCGCAGATACCTCAGGTTGCTTTTCATTACCAAATTCCGAATCAATATTGTGTTCACTGTGAATGAACTCACCATCTTCCCTATCCGAGTTGTGTATGTTGTCATTTGTAGGCATCATAACACTGTGTGATTGGCCAGCATCTTCATCGTCAGTCTCTTCATTCATAATTTGTGTGATCCACGATTCCACAACAGAATCCGCCTGGTCTTCATTCATATTTACAACTGTATGTTGTTTTAGATCCATTTTACAAACCTACAATAAAAGAAATTAAAATATATATGTTTTTATATAAATAATACGACAAATAAGCAACGTTTGAGAATCGTAACAATTAAATAAAAATATTAACATAATTCACTAGTATGAGTCCATGGGACTCACTCGACTTGATAACTCACCAACTACGCGTCACAGCTGCACGTCCTCTCGCTACCGCGGTGCCGGCGACACTAGGAATGTACTAAGGCGGGGGAGGAAACCAGTCGCTAGAGCTAAAATTTATAACGGTTTAAAATTTCGATGTGAGTCCAATGGACTCAGGTAGTGAATTAAGAGTTAAAACCATTTGCTGAAGGAGAATTTATCAAGGAGTGTATGTTAGAAGTTTGCGATATTTTGTGCCCTGTAAAGAAAAATGAATTTGAAAAAATTAGTTTGTCAAGACGAACTGTTGTTCGACGTATAGAAATGATGGCTAATGATATAAAAACAACATTGACTGACCGTATGGCTGGTTTTGAATCATTTTCCATAGCATTAGACGAGACCACCGATTTGTCTGACACAGCTCAACTGGCTATATTTATTCGAGGTGATAAGGAGTTCGCTGTTACTGTGGAATTGCTTGTTTTACAGCCGCTAAAAGGAACCGCTACAGCAGAGGATATTTTTATTTAAGTTCAAAAGGTATTCACAAGTTTTGGCTTGCCATGGTCAAAATTAATTGGAGTATGCACTGATGGTGCACCTTATATTGTCGGCTTACGTAAAGGTTTCATCGGAATTTTGAATGAAAAAGCAACAGAATTAAATGTACAAAAAGATGATTTGATAGTCCTTCATTGCATTATCCACTAACAGAACTTGTGTTCTAAGTCCATTCGACTCCAGAATGTTATGAATGTGATAGTAAGAACCATCAACTTTATTCGATCCCGAGGGCTTAACTATCGTCAGTTCAAGGTGTTTTTGGATGAAACGACGTAACATATTATTGTGAAGTCAGATGGCTGAGCAAAAGAAAAATGTTGAAACGGTTTTACGAGCTTAGAAATGAGATAGCAGACTTTATGAAAATAAAAGATAAACCACTATCTGAATTAAGTGACCCAAAATGGATATGTGACTTGGCATTTCTGGTCGATCTTACAGGCTATTTGAATGATTTAAATTTGAAACTTCAAAAACAAGGACAATTATTAAATTATTTGTACAGCCATTTGAAAGCGTTTCAGATCAAACTACGCTTGTGGGAGTCACAGATGCTGTCTGGTAACAGTTACCATTTCAACACGCTCTCTGCGTATGAAAATATTGCTTATGCTCAATATGCTGAAGAACTCAAGTTACTGTCGGAACAATTTTGGAACAGATTTAGCGACTTCAAAAACATGGAAGACTGTTTCAGTTTATTTGCTACTATTTGCTACCTATACTCCTATAAAATATAATGTACAAAATGCTCCAATACACTTTCAAATCAAATCAATTCAAGGAAACTCACGCCTAAAATCCAAATTTAAAGACGTAGAGTTGTGCGATTTCTACAAAAAATACCTAGAAGAAGACAAATTTCCGCAGCTTAGAAAATTCGCAAGAAGATTCTTTTCATTGATTAAAGTTAATAAATCAACACATCATACCAGACTGACTGACGATTATTGGGAAAATTCTTTACGTCTTTGTATCAGTGGAATTAATCCAAATATCGATGGATTAGTTTCCCAAATTCAAGCTCAAGTGTCTCATTCATTAAACTTTCGTAATTTGTAACAATTGCAAATTTAACGATTTTATTATAATGTACCATTTTATTAAATTTAATTTTGATATTTTAATAAATTTTACTATAATAACATTGTCGTATTATTTCATATCTAATATCTATCGAAAAAAATATTATCACTACTTTAAAATGCACTAAGTACTTTTAAACGCGGCCCGCGAACGTATTTGCACGCTAAAGTTTGGCCCTCAACATGTCAAAGGTTGCCCATACCTGTTTTAAACTATTCAAAATATATTAATTCATTTATCAATCAACTTTATTGCACTAGACATATAAAAACATTGGGTAGGTAAGCGACAATGGGTTATATTATTCATATAATATTAAGTTACAATCAAGGTTGAAAAATAAAATAAAATTTTCACTTTAAAACATAGTTTTTAATAGGGACGAGAAGCACAACCAAGATTTTCATCGTCGGAGTCATCGTCGCAACTTTTGTCATCATCTCCAACTTGAATTATTAATTCGTTTTCAACGAAATTGTTGAAGTGCACATCGCGCTTACAGTCACATAAAACTTCTTCTTTCACGTGTCGAATAACATTCGCCCAGTTTTCAGCGGTCACCTGACCACAAGCTTCTTTCAACAAACGGAGCATTTTGTTTGCGGTGAAGGGAGATGTGTTGCTACGTGCTGTGTCCTGTGAACGAAATAAGTGATGAATAAAGTAATGTTTAATGCAATGTATGTTATAGTATTTATGAAAAAAAGAAAATTTATGTAATGCAAATATGTTATAATATTTATCAAGAAAAAAGAAATATTTACGCATTTTCACTGACCTTTGATTTGTGCCTACATTAGTTCTATGGCATTATATTGACAGTGATAGGGTCTGATAATTGTGTGACCACGTTGCTTTGCTGCTTCGTCCAGCAAATACACTGGCTCCCTTGGTTTGTGTGTGGCCACCAAGCGAAGCAGTTCGCACTTGAGCATTGTCATATCGGTATTTATGCCCTTCTTTATGAGCCACTCTATTATATGAGCTTTTTTGTTTGCCGTCGTCAGAGCCTTGTCAAGCACTCAGCTGTCAAGTATATGAGGACCGTCCAGGTTGTCCATCATTTTATGGAACCTTCTGAAAAGTTTCGAAGTTCATCTCTTCGTGGTATTCATTAATTTTTTTAGAATTAAATGCCAGTCAGCAGTTTGACATAAAACCTTTGGCAGTACCTGCGTGGCAAATTATTATCCTCTCCCCCTTTCCTTCTTGTACTTTTGTGGATGATTGGGCCGTATCATCGTTCCATGTTTTTTTCACAGTGTGATTGGCATTCAACCACGTTTCGTCTAAAAACACAACCTTCCCCCAATCAGAAATATTTTTAGCTTTTCTTAAAAAACAAATCTTTTGAATTCTATAGAGTGCTATGTGCTTTCCATAAGGATCTTGCGGTTGTTTGATTTTTGTTAATGAAAACCAATTTTATTTAATGGTTTTGACAGCGGCGTTCGATCACCGTCATATAAATTGAAGTTGCTGCGAACACTAAGAGGCTTCTGTTAATGTTCGCAGCAACTTGTTAAGTGTGGGTATGGGTGTGGGTGTGGTTTCGTTCCTTGAATAATACCCATAAATGTGGTTTCGTATAGCCGCATATTGAAAATCGTCAATATCGACTGTAGGTTGGATACGCTTTCGTTTTTTATTAGGAGTCGATAGTTTATTCTCTTCATCACCGTCTTTGCTAAATTTTTCAGTCGATATATGTGTTACAGTAGCTAATCCAATTCCCAAAGCGTCAGCTACACGTTGTCGCATTTAAAACAATGGCAATAATGGTCCGCCATTTTGACACTCACGCTCAAAATAATTGCGTAAGCGAATTACAAACTCACGCGTTTCACTGTTAAGCACAGTTTTTCACCCTTTTTAACAACTTAACAAAAATTAAATAATAACACAAAAAAAAAAGAACAACAAAGTAGCTTGAGATTATAATTTAAGACACTCGTGATGTGACGCAAAGGTTGTCGCACTCGTACTAACTTTTTTTTTATAGGATAAGGGTGACAAACGAGCACACAGTCCACTTGATGGTAAGTGGTTGCTGCGGCCCATAGACATCTACATCTATCCTCGTTTGCGAATCAAAATGCAGATGCGTTGTCACCCGTAAGAACTAAGATGGAATGCCTCATTTCCAGTAAAAGGGGCCTCCGGCCACCTGCACTCACCAAACGAAACGCAGAGGTATACCTCTACTTCACGCTGGTATTCTGTGAAGTCGTGGTACCACGACTTCACAGAATACCAGCGTGAAGTAGAGGGGGGGGGGAATTGGCCATAGCTGCCACGCTCAGCAAGCGGGTTGGCAATCGCAGTTTGTTTAATTTTTATACTAATGTAAAAGACACGCTGCCCGTGGTGCAATAAAATGGGGAAACATCCCTCTTATTGCCCCGCGGGCAGCGAGTCTTTAACATTTGTATAGTTGTTATTAAGAACATGCTGCTGCCCATCCGCTACTTAAAGCAAACTTATAAGAATATAACGTTGTTTTTTTCATTAATTTTTTAAAATTTTAAGCTTAGCTTATTGTCCCCAATTGTTAGTAAAAATCAAGTCGTGGTACCACCCCGGTTCGAGCCGACCCATCCGTGCGATAGCACGATTTTAATTAAGGTTTCTTTGTACAGTATTTATTGTACAGATATTTGTAATAGTTACTGCCTGTTATTTGTGTCCCACCCGACCGACCGATGTAACATTGCACGAGCGTTCATTGTTTTCAGTTTTTCTATTTAAATCTTACTTTGAAGCAATAAAAGAAGCACTAAGATTTTCGGAAAATTTTTAAATTTTTTAACAATTTTTAAAATTATTAATATAAGAAAATATTATGTTTGTCATTGCAAGTTATGTCGATCACAAATTGGACATCTGTCAAAAAGATCAAGCTATGTTGTACAGAGTATATAAATAGTCTTTTGTTCATCCGCCGCCGTATGGCGCCGGCGCATTTGGCTATTGTTTTTTCCTTTTGAAAACACTTGTTTTGCTATTCTTTCAGATCAACTTTACTTTTACATTTGTATAACATTAAATAATAATATTATTATAACATTAAATAATAATATTATAATAATAACATTCGTAAATATTAATGACTCATAAACTTTTTAATTTTTACAAACTTCTTGGTTCTTGATTGTTCGATATTTACAAACGTTATTATTAGTTGAAAATTTAAATGAATAAAAATCAAGGTTTACAGGGTGATTTTGCTGTACAAGTAGGTACATGATTTTTGTATATAACAATAATAGTACAAAAGGTTTGTAATCTTTGCATAAAACAAAACTCACTCTCGATTCCAAGGAAAACACGTAGAAAAACACGTAGTTTGCCACTAAAAACAAGTATCCTTCCGTTTGCAATTGATGTTTGATGTCTACTAAACTTAATCAGGTCTAAACAAGCGAAAAAAGCATAAAAAATAATGAGAAACTATGAGGTGTTCGCACTGCGCGCCTAATTACAGTTCTCGGTACAATATAATATAACTTATCGGTGATATAACTACAGTCAAACCTGTTATTACACAATTCATGCAGCATCATGGCCATAATAAGTGATCGTCTAGAGTCCAAACTTAGTAGTTTACGAGGAACACACTGAAATGATCGGGAATGAGAAAAACCACACGGTTTGCACGGTATAGCTAAATTGTATTTTATTGTTTTTCGAAGTATTCTCCGTTCAACTTTATGCACTTTTCCATTCGTGCAAACCAATCATTAAAACAGTAAATCCAGTCTGAAGTTGATGTTGAGAAAATGGCTGATTTGTACTCTTCCACAGCTGCTTCGGGGTCTTCAAACCGTTGACCGCGTAATAAATCTTTCATTCTAGGAAATGTAAAGAAATCGTTTGGGCTT